TATTTTTGTCAATAGTTTCAAAAACCTAAATTACTTTTGTATTTATTTATTTAATTTACATTTATTTAGTTATTATTTTTAAATTAACATTATTTTTGTAATTTTCTTTTAAAATGTCATTATTTTAAAACTACAATTTCTCTAGGTAAGCTTTCAAGAAAATAACATCCATCATATATTATCCATGTGCTTGAGTTGTGTTGTGTTGTGTAGAAAAATGGAACAACAATTGGACACCGGAAACAGTAATACTGCAGATAATTAATACAATGCGCAGAAGAAAACTAGTGAAGTACTGTCAAGGCAAAATAGCATAATCTAAGTTCGTGGACTTTTCAAAACTCCACACCGTATAGGTAAAAATCCAATATAAACAGAGATCAGGTAAAATAGTGAAGACCGAAGAATGAAAATGCCCTAGAATCATACCAATCAACCAGATTGCGAAAGAAATTTAAAGCACATACCGTTAAGCATGGGAAAAGTACTGCTCCACCTCCACGTCCAGGAGATAGGAAAAATTAGGGCTAGTAAGCGGATCGACTTCTGCTCTTCGAGATTCTTCTCCGAAAATTCCATGTGGAAACCCTTTCTTTGGTTTTTGTTCTTCGTCTTCGTTTTTTTGCAATTGATCGAAATGGAAACGCTTCCCGCCATTTCACTTCCTTTGCCCCGCTTCTCTTTCTATGGCTTTCTTTTCACGCAAGTCTTTTTCTTTTTCTTTTTACCTTTTACTATTTATCTTTTATTATCAACGTGTTTTTTTACTACACTTTTATTATCGATTTTATTTCTACAATCAATAAGTTTTTAACTTTTTGTTTGTTCCAAAATTTTTACAAAAACATGAATAGAAGTATTATTTTTTTATTCATAAAATGTGCAATAAATATTAAAAATTTTAATATTTAATTTTAAAAATTAATTTTCATATGATAATTAAAAATGTTAAAGAAAAAGAAACGAGAAATTGTTACCATATTATTTTTTCAATAACAAATTACAAAATGCACTGTTGTTTCTATTTATTTAGAAAGGAAACAATAAATAATAAACTAGAAGGTTACTGAGTACATAATGCAGGAGAGACAGAAAAATGAACTTTGGAAAGAGAAACCATTTCTAAATTTTTTTTTTTTTTTTGAGCCGCAGCATATACAAAACGAACAACACTCTACAAAAGAATATGAATGGAAGTTGAAACAGAAAAATGCATATAACTCATTGTCAGTTTCATCCTTTGGTTTGATTCAATCTCTACATCCTAAAGGAGATTTCTGGTTGAAGAAATATCATGGGTCTCATCCTTGTTTTGAGTAGAAGTAGAGGAGTCGATCCACGGCCCGTCGACTAACATGCTTCTTTGCATCTGAATGCCTTGCGACGATGTCGAAATGCCTGTTATGCTGTCTTGAGACAGCCTCTCAAAGGCTTTGAACCTTGCATCTTGATCGGCTGCATTGCGCTTGATGATTGGTGCTTGAACAGCAATTTTGCCTTCGAGCATGCTGACCACAGAAGACATGGATGGTCTTAAAGTCGGAGACGGGTTTGTGCATAAGAGAGCTATGTGAATCATCCTCATCACCTCTTCTTTCGAGTAATGTGAGTCGAGACTCGGGTCGACAAGTTCGAGAAGGTTTCCTTGCTCTTGTAGAACATAAGCCTTCGAACGAGTAGAAAAGACACAGTAAGACAATTAACACTCGTTTTGTTTGTGTGAGGAAAGGAATCAATTCTAGTGGCTAAAAGAACATAATGTGGAAAATCATGAAGAGGGGAAGAACTGAAAAATCCATTAGTACTTACCCAATCAAGAAGGTAAACAAATTCTTCCTTTGGCCTGTAATTTGTGTTACTTTTCCCACTAACAATCTCTAAGGCCACAACTCCGAAGCTGTAAACATCGGCTTTATCAGTCAAGTAACCTCTCATCGCATACTCGGGAGCCATGTAACCTCTGAAAAGGAAATCAAAATCTCAGAAAAGTATTACTAAACAAATAATTGACATTAACATTAGAGATATAGAGATCAACAGACATTGTGCCAGCAATTCTTGTGCTGATATGGGTGTTCTCCTCTTCATCAAGCCTAGCCAACCCAAAGTCAGAAATCTTGGCATTCAAACTTTTATCAAGTAGCACATTGGTAGCTTTTATATCTCTGTGAACAATTTTCAATCTAGATTCTTCATGAAGGTAAGCCAATCCCTTTGCTATTCCCAAGCATATCTTCATTCTTCTCGGCCAATCCAAGTGAAGTCGGTGCTCCTCGGGGCCTTAAAACAAAAACCGTGAAATATTTATAACCAATAGCCTTATTTTGGAACTAAAACAAGTTACAATGGAAGATATATCTAAAACACTTACCAAAAAGTGCACGGGCAAGACTATTGTTCTCTAGATACTCATATATAAGCAACAACTGGTTTCCTTCAATACAACAACCATAAAGCTTAACAAGATTTGGATGTTGTAATGCAGATATCATCCCAATCTCAGTGACGAATTCACGGTTTCCTTGCCGTGATTTGGAGGATAGCTGCTTTACAGCAATTGAAGTACCATCCGACAATACTCCCTACAAAAATATGTTTTGTTTACTCTGATATCAAGCTATGTACTTTACAAGTCATTTATGTTGGATAACAAAATGAACAAAACTGCAGGAAAGATGGTTGGATATTAAACAATGATGCAGCATAAAGCAAAGCCGTAGCTACCTTGTACACTGGACCAAAACCTCCCTCGCCTATCTTATATGTCGAGTCGAAGTTGTTGGTGGCTGCTCTGATTTGTCTTAAACTGAAATAACCTGTTTGTAAATCTAGGGCCCGCAATTCTGCAATAAAGAAAGGAATGCAGTTTTTTGTTATCAAAGGAACACGTGGGTTGAAGTAAATATGTTTCATATAGTTGACTAAAAATGATTCGGTTTTGACTTAAACAAAAAGGAAACATGTTCAAACTTGAATTTCAGTCACTCCCTAGTCTTGCCTCCATCTCCATGAGTCTATCAATTTAGGTTAATACAAGTTTGGTCCATAAACTTTAAAAATATCTAGCAAGTCCTTAAACATTTCAATGTTATGTCTAATATATCACTAAATTTAAAAAGTGACTCATAGCTAAAGGATTTATCAGACACAAAATTGAAAATTTAAGGATTTTTTATACACTTTTTAAAGTTCAAATACATATTAAACACAATTCTAAAAGTTAGCGTTTCTTTGACTTTCTAGTAGATGTACTTTGTCATCCACCACTTACTAGAAAAGTGCTTTATAATAATAAAACTGACAGATATATTTTACAGTTCACAGAAATAAACTACTCTTGTAATCTTACCGCTGTTTTCAGTGTCCTTTCCGCCCAAGTAACCTTTCCATCGGAGAATAGCCAACACTAACACAACGAACACAAAAATGCCAACAACAATGCCAGCAATAGCCCCAGCTGATAGCGCTCCGGTCTCCACATCAAAGTCTATAATAGCGGAATAACAACAGTTCAGTAACGGTATAAACTAAAGGGTCATTTAGTAATGTTCTTGTTTCTCGTGCAAGAAAGTTTAAATGATTAGCAACAAAAGAAGAAAATTTTTACTTGGAGTGACACTGATCCCAGATATGAGAGGTCCATACACCCCTCTGTTTGGAATGGCTGTTGTTCCTTTACCAGCCCAATATAAGTGGATCTCAAGAGTACTGCCATTGACTAGAATATTAGGCTCTTCTAGAATAAAGTCCTTACCAACACCTCCAGCTTCCTTCATTATGTTAAAATCTTTTCTAACCAAATTTCCCTGCGTAATGAGTAGAATTAGTAAATTGTAAGTACTATTCATACACTACGCGCAGAAAAATGGCTAAATATACGTTTTAATCCATTATATTTGGTTGTATTTTCAAATTAATCATTTATGTTTTAACGTTTTTCATTCGTACCATTTTTGTTGAGAAATGTTAAAATTGGTTGATGACATGATCCTGAAATAATTTTGGCATAAGTTTAAAGAAGCAAGGCCAACTAGAAAGAGAATTTTATAATTTCTCAAAAGTTTTGACTTCTCCTCTCTTACTTTTTTTTTTATTGTGAGTATCCAATCTAGCTGGTACTCACATCGACTAATTTTACGAGATAACCATTCTAATCCTACAACATTTTGGTTGCGAAACAAATACATAAGAAATTAGTTCCTAAATAGGTGGTTATCGTGAAGTTTGAACTCATTCCCTCTAAATCCTTTTAGGGTTTATCTTACATTGCCTAATGTTTCTATTAACTCATGTAAGCTTATTTACCAACTTTAACATTCATCCATGAAAATGGTATAATCGAAAAATGGATAAAAAGTAAGGGTCTAAATTGAAAGATATCATTTCTCTCCACGTACTTGAATTGAGATATCAAATATGCGCTCTCCCAAGCTGCTGAAAGTTTCATCTGCAGTATACATTATTTCAGCAAAGTGAAGCTTCACATTGTAACTTCCTCTCCGTAAGCAAAGTCCATAGTACTTCAGCGAAAGCGGTGCGAGTCGAGCAGTTGTGTAGATGCTTGAAGCAGATACATTGCTACTTGATGCTCTGTAATCAGCATCCTCTTTTCCCAGGAAAACACCAGTACTGCTATAAGCCCATCTTTCAGAAAAAGAAAGAAAATTGGACTTGCCACCCATAGTCACATCCTCTTCATATTCATTACCATCAACCTCCATCCTCAGTCCTCCACAATTTATGAACAAGGAATGAACTACAAGAGAAAAAAAACCCGTGTATCACACAAAATAGTTCGATCAGGGATTTGATGGCTACTGGTAAAAAGCTGCAGTTCTAAAAAGAAGTAAAATCACATTCATCTTTGCTTACATCGAGCTTCCCTAGGGCAAGGGAGATCCTTCCTCAGGCACCAAGCAACACTGCAGCAGATTAGATACTTTAGAACCTACTGTCACTTATGACACACGAAGTTTAGAAGGAAAGAGGAAAAAAAGGGTTAAATTACAAGTTCAGTCACCAAACTTTTAAAGTTGTATAATAACTCCCTAACTTTCGATTTTGGGACCTATTAGACATTTCTTATAGATTTTGGACCTTTCAATCTAATAGATCCTTTAAAAAATTTCTAATAGGCCGAGACACATATTAAAAATTCAAATACCAAGTAGACATTATTTTAAGCTTAGGGATCTATTAGACACAACATTTAAAGTATAGCGATCTATTAAACACATTTTAAAATTCAAGGACTTATTAGACACAATCCTGAAAATTCAAGGATCAAACTTGTAATTCCGCCCAAAACAATGTTGTGTTTTTATGTGGTAGATAAGGACACTTACGTATCATTCATTGTAGTTGAATAACTGGAAACCAAGTTCCTGCAAAAAAGAAAGATATGAAATATATCAGGGAAGTTGACTACATGTATTAGAAATTTTATTGCATAAATGGTTGGTGTAAAGTGGCTTACACATCAGACTGTTGACAACTGGAAACAGGGGACCCTGTAAAATTGTTGTAAGATAAATCTCTGCAATCATCCAAGATAGAGAAGAATTATTACATAATATGAAGAAAGAAAATTTTGTGTAACCAAATGTTAGTATATAAATTTACTAGTGCATAGAAAATCATAGAGTTTGGACTAACATGCTCCTTTCACTGTTCAAAATCCAGCTTGGTACTTGGCCACTTAATGAGTTGTTGGTCAGAAATCTACATCAAGTAATCATCTCACTTTTCACCAACCATGTCATGGGCAAAGTAACAAATATGAAAAAGAAAAATAAAAATTTAAAAATGCTGTAATCACCCATGAATTACTTACAAGAACCGAGTAACTCTTTCTAGATTCTGAAATGTGTCTGGAATTGGACCACTCAATCTGTTGAAGCTTAGATCTCTGTTGAAAAGTAAAAGCTCCGTTAGTAGATGATATTAACTTATGATATACCTTTTTTTTTTGTTAAATTATAAGTTTAGTCCCAAAACTTTGAGGATTATGTCTAATAAGTACCTTAAAAAATGTGTAATATATTCTTAAACTTTTAATATCGTGCCTAATAGGTCCTTAAACTTTACAAAGTGACCAACAAGTCTTTGAACTTTCAATTTCCCACCGGTCTCTGAACTTTAAAAAGTGTATTATAAATCAGAGATTTATTAGATACAAAATTAAGATTAATGACTTATTAAATATAAATTAAAGTTCAGTGACCTATTACACACTTTTTAAACAGAAACTTGAGATTTTAGGAACTTGCAAGATACTTTCTACAGTTCAGGAACCTATCAAGCACAAAAGTTTATGACCAAACTCATAGTTTAACACTTTAACCTAAAAAAAAAAATCAAAGGGGTTGTAAAAATGCAAAAGTGAATTTCAGCAACTTACAAAGTTTTTAATGCATTAAACTGACCGATATATCCAGGAATACGATCCTCGATTAAGCAATTTCTTAGGACCCTGAGTAGCCAGAAGAAAAAGAAGATACATATTAACAAAAAGACAAAACCAATCTAATAGGGTGACTTGTAGAAATAAACAACTTAGAACTTTTGCATACAATTCCTGTAAAGATGTCAATTGAGTCAAATTCGGAAAACTAGTTGCTGGTCCCTTCAAGTCAGTTATCCTCCTGAGAAAGAAGAAATATTATTAGATTAGAAATCATTCAAATTAGTTTAAATTAATATAGATTCTTCATACAACAATGTCACTATGGAAGTAATCCTCACAGTTCAGTTAAGTTTTTCAACTCGGATATGGCATGAGGAATGGGGTTCTCCATAGAAGTTCCTTGAATATCCCTGCAATGAACAATTATACTTGGGTGAAAAATAATGCTAAAACTATAATGAGTAACATTTTATAACTTTTAGGGAACAAAATATCTACTGTATATCTACTTACAGCCTTTCAAGTTTGGTCCAATTGCCAATAAATTCAGGAAGCTTTCCCGATACATCATTTCCATCTATCCGACTGCAAGATCATATGAAAATAAGAAATTTGGGAAAATTTTTAAATTTTTAAATGTTCTAAGATGACTGCTAGCATGACTTACAAATCAGTCAAGTTCCTCAAGTTTCCATAAGTGTCTGGAATCGGCCCGGTGAAATTATTTGCAGTAAGAAGTCTGTAGATAATGAAAACTGATTTAGTTGTATCAATGGTGAAAGTCAAAACAGAGAAATAAACCAGCATAGGTTTGAAAATGAACATCCAAGGACCCTAAAAGGACACCCCTAAACCATTCAACACTCGTCCCACTAATGGAGATTTTTTAGAGCAGATTGAAAAGTTATTTTATCTAATTAAAAGTATTTTCAATCATGGTGTCAATCTTACAATCTTTGCAAGCGGGTCAGTTTCCCGAGGCTTTCAGGAAGATTTCCTCCAAGCCGATTGTCTTCCAAGACCCTGTTCATGCAATGCAATCCCATTATTCATGGACCTCCAAAAAGCTTCATAATATGAGATTTCATTTAGTGACTTACAGATGCTCAAGTGTTGCGATGTCGCCAATTTCTGGAGGAATCTGGCCACTGAGCCGGTTTCCCAACATGGACCTGTGCACAACTCATTTACATTTAGATTGGCAAACTCCAAATACTCTTAAACCGAGATCAATTTATTCCGATTATATGAGAAATAGAAAATAGCAACTTACAACTCAACAAGAGGAATGCGAGCAAACTCTCTAGGGATTGGTCCGGATATAAAATTGCGAGAAAGATCTCTGTTTAGTGAGAAGAAGTATCTTAGTATTGAAATGAATAGAAAGAGAATCCGTATCATTTTTCATAAATTAAAATGAAATCAACTTTAGAATCAAACTCAAATGTCCACAAAGAAAAACAATGTCATTTTTGGGTGGGCTTACAATCAAAATTTCAGTTAAAAGAATGATCATAACTTACATCAGCTGCAGCTGAGTCAGATTTCCAAATGCTGCCGGCAGAATTCCAGTTAGATTGAGACCCTTTAGCCGGCTGTCATAGCAAGAGATCATGGTAAGCAAGACAAAAGAAAACAAACTGAAGAAATTATTAGGTTGCGTTTGGTTGGTGATCTAAACGGGAATTTAAAAACAATAGCTATACTCCATGTTTTCACTCATTTTGATAGAATCTGAAAAGTGAAAACATGTGGATATTGTCACCAAAATTTTACTCCTATATTAAGAAATAAACCATCAAACGGAAACTCACTCAAATCATTTGATTCAGTAATCTAAAAACAAGAAAAAGACCCTTAATAACTTGACAGTAATTTTTTAGGCTATTATCGTAGAATACTACAACGATGAGTTTGTTACCTATATGCATTAATTAGAGCATAACTAAGAAACTCGTGTTTGTGTACAAATCTTTAGAAAACGATGCGTCACCGTATCTGTGTGGAGTTTTATCCATACCCCAAATTTCTATTTCACATTTGACATCAATTACCGATGCGAATCAACGCATTGAACTGTGCTTGAATTTAAAGGGAAGGAAGAGGAGGTTCTTACATGCTGGTAACGCTGCAAGAAACAGTGGAGCAACTGCAGTTCACCTCTCTGATGACATCAGTACCGTCGATTACTCTATTGGAAAACCCATTGCCATTAATGCAAGAATTTTGGTGGACATTCCAGTTTAAGTTCTTTAGCTCTGCGGATATTGCTTCAAGGGCTCTCACTGTCATTTTCACTCACATCATTTCCTTAGTATATCAGTGTCAACTATGACATATGAAGTTTTGGGTTTCTTTAAATTATTCAAATAAGTTGAAATTTTCATCTCAGGATAATACTACCGTGAAGATATCTTAATGATAATTTACGTTAGTAAATTTATTCTCCCACCTTAAAAAATAACGGCCAAACAAAAGTTTATAAATTCAAACATGCCACCAAAACTTTTTTTTATGAAATATTCTAAAATATCATAATTTTTATATTTTTTAAAAATATATATAAATTATCTTTTCTTAAAATAGGATAAGTTGGATGTTAGAATTAGTTTTTATTTTTGCCTCATGTTGTTGAAATTTAAAACTGTATTTGCTATTAAAATTTTGATAATTCTTCATTTTTTAAAAAATTTGGAAAAGATCTCTTTATCCATTTTTCAGCAGCTAAATATCATTTCATTGCAAAAAAATATCTTATCCACACGTGGGGCCAAATCTATGATTTATTACAATTGGAAAAAAAAAAGTCAAAATTGGAACAGTTGAATAAGCAGAAATGCAGACAGTTGAACAATTTGTCTTCTAGTTTCAACAAGAATTTCCTTTTTCTAATCCAAAGAAACTTCTATACATATCTTTTTTATTATTATTATTAAAAAATAATAATATTAGCTAAAATATTATCGTGGAAAAGTTTGTCAAGAATATATCTAAAGACCAAAAAATCAGGAAAATATTAATGGCCAAAGAAAATATTCCTAATTTGCATCGGAAACGAACCGAAAGACGAGAAAATGGAAATGAAAATCTTTTTCTTTAGGAGAGAGATGTGAGTGGAGATATTTTCCATTTGCGATTTCCGAGAAACCAAACAGATTCACGAAAACAGAGCACTTCTGCGGTTTCTCGGGAACCAAACAGAAAGCGCAAAAAAAACAGAGCAATTCAAATTCCATCTATTTTCCTAAACACGAGAAACAGAGCAATATCTATTTTTTCTATTTTCCTTCAGCGGTTTCTCGGGAACCAAACAGAGAGCACAAAAACAGAACAATTCCGATTTTTTTTTCCCATCCGCGGTTTCCCGGGAACCAAACAGAAAGCACAGAAACAGATCAAACAAGGAGAGAAATGAAATGGAACCTTCTTGTTGAGGCAGAGGCTGTGCATGGGATCCAAATCCAAGGAAGCAGTTCAAAACCAGAAACCCACAAACAAGAACACGAACACGAACACGAACAAGAACAGTACTCTTCAAAAAATCCCAAACAGAAAAATCCATGTGGCTAAGCACAGCACCAGCAGCAGTAGAGAAACAGAGAGGGAGAGACGTGTGAATATGATGGATTTATAGAGAAAGGGAAAAAGGGTGAGAAAATTCTGTATCCCAAATGAGAATTTCAATTCAAAGTACGGTTTTGATGCGACATTTGAAGGAGATGAAAAAAGGAAATGTTAGTGATGCTGAAAAGCCGGAAACTTGGCCGCTGATGATTCCAACTTTGAAAGCCACAGTATTGTTATTGTAATGGATTTTGACAAATTACTGTTTATTTTTCTAAACAAAAATTTTATTTTATTGTTTAATGTAAAGTAAGTCCGACCAGGCGGCTGCAACCAAACCATTCGTACGCCGACGTTATTCAATCATAGAGAAGAGTCAACCTTGGTTGCATTGCATGGCCAAATTTTTTTTATTTTTTATTTTTTTTACACAATTGTTAGAACAGAAAAATATTAGAAAATATTTAGCCTTATTGGTGAGTACTATCTCACCACTTTTAAATGTAAGTACTCTCTAACCGCTATTAAATGTGGGTACCGTCTCACCCCTATTAAATGTTTGATAAATTTTTTTCTTTAAATCTCTATTTTTGCATTTATATCTATTGGTTATCAAATATTTAATGACGGTGATGATCGACAATGAGCTATGTTAAAAATCCCACATTGAAAATAGGGATGACCTAACATAGATTTATAATAGACATGAACTGCTAATTAATGTGATTATATATATTCCATTATATTATATCCACATTTTAGGAAGTAAAAAATCTTTTAACTTTCAGTTACATTTTTTAAAATACTCAGATAAGAAATAATTTAGTGTTTTTTCAAGGGGCAGTCAGTCCTTATATTTGAATGAATCACACCTTTAATTTTCAATTTTTTAATTTTAAAATTAAGATTTGGTTTTCAACCTTATATTTACTTGGAAATCCTTTTCAGTTGTTTTCAAAAATTTCAATTATTAAATAAATATTGAGTTAAATTATAAGTTTAATATTTAAAGTTTTAGGTTTGTGTCTAATAAGTTTCATAACTTTAAAAAGTGTTTAACATATCTCGGTGTACGTAAATTCCTAAATTTTTAAATTCCGTTTTTGTCTAATAGGGTCAATTAGTTTTTAAATCGAATAAATTAGAGGTTTATTTGATACAAAATTAAAATTTTGAATACCTATTAAATATACAATTAAAAGTTTAAAGGCACAAATTTAAACCGAACTAATTTAACATTAATATTTTTTAATTTAGCAATAATTTGACGGAAAAACTATGGGATAAAGCCCATTAAGATTTAGCTCAAATTCTCAACCCAAAAAATGTAGAAGGCCCGTTTAGAAAACCGACAATTCTGAACTCCATGCAAGAGAAAAACTCTGCATAACCAAAATTAAAAATCATACCAGTTATGACATTTCTAGAAAATAATAATAATAATAAAGTGGTGACATTTTCTAAAATATTCATCACTGAAATTTGGTTTGGTGATGTATCCTTCTAAGCGCCCATGGATAAGGTTTCTTGCAATAACATATAACTCAAATACTAGTGGGATGCCCTATCAAATATCATCTAACGTTCAAGTTAATAATCAATGAGAGAAGGAGAATATGGACACATCTTGTATTTGTTCAGTGACGAATTTCTCACTTACCTTTGCAATGTGTAATTCTATCTCTTTCGTGGGTGATAGAATCAACCATGGAGGATGCATGGCGTGGGATGTAGTGTGCCCAATCTGCATATGGGCTTTGATGAGTCAGGAACATTCCTAGTATATGATCGGAAACAAACACTCTGTCAGTTTAAGTTTGACCTTAATAAGGAGACTTGATGTTGGAGTGAAGTATTCTATTTACAGGTTGGGTATCCGACTGATGTTTGGGTATATCGAAGGTCGATTTATCTGGTGAGCACGTTGAATTTAGTTAAGGATGAAAAATCATTCATCCTTTGAATATATTCATGAAAGACTTTCACACGATCTTTATAAAGACCCTGGTCAGTTGGTCTTTTTCTGCAAGACTATTTTTATCCCAACAGTGTGAGCATATCAAATACCGTTGCTTTTTTTTTTCCCTTAAATCCAACACATTAGAGTTGTTGTTACGTATCAATGATTTTGATTTGAAAAAAGATGTTTAATTGACTCCAAAATTTAAGTCCATGTGAACGATTTTCCTTACGTTTTAATTTAAACGAAAACGATAATTTTTTTTTTCTCGAGATAAGAAAACAATAAATTATTCATAAAGCAGTCCCAATTCTCAAACGAATCTTTAATATCTTAATTATAGAAACCAAACCTGATTAGAAGAGGTGGTGGCTGCAAATAATTTTCAACGAAAAAAAGGTTGTTCTTTTATTTTTAGCTGACGTCAACTTTCAATTCAATCCATGACCGCCAGAAGAAAGCCGTCACCCACCAATCACCAACTCACAAGTACTGTTACGTACAGCCTGTTGAAAACTCAACCAATATCCATTTTTTCACTTTCTTTATTTTAATATTTTGTAGATTTTTGAGTTTTTTTATTTTGTGTGAAATAAATTCTTAAATTTATTATACTTTTTTTAATTCGAATTATTAGACATGGTAGATACAAATTTTACTGTATTAACAATTGATTACTTTGTTCAAAGAAAAATATCAATTTTAAATTAAAATTTTTAATGTTTATTAGAACCATCATATTTGATTAAAAAATTAGTTCATAAAGGATCATATTAAAAAAAATTTAAATATAAAAGATGAAAGAAATAAAAATATATATTCACTTTTAAAATTTTATTTTGGTCATTAATATTATATAATTATTTAACATTGTTTTAGAATTTAAAAGTTGATTGAAAAAACATATATATTACACTCTTATGCTAAGTCAAGATGGTATACATTATTGCCAAGGGGCTGCAATTATTGCATCAACTGGGCTATGTTAGGCACGGAAAAGTAATTGGTTTTGAAAGCGCTTTTCCACTTTTAGAAAAAGAGAAAATTATAAGTAGGAAAGTTCTCAACAAGTAAGAATTGTGTTACCAATTTGAGGATAATTTAATGGATTAATATATATATATTCCCAACTAATAAATTATAGTTTGAATCTCCGCCCCACAGTATATTAATTTCAATTCAAACATGGATTTGATTTACACTCTATATTATGAGAAATATTTACCATCCGAAAAGAGGAAAAAACGGAGTCTTTGTTTAAAGAAAGGCCTTGAGAAAGGGCATATGTATAGAGCCTTTCAATAAGGTATTAGTTTTTTCAACTCTCTTAAAATTTAATCTATTTCAAACATATATGTCATGGTTCCTTACTTCGACAGGGTACAAATATCTAAATTTTCTATTTTTAAATACTTTTTTAAACCTATTGTCGATATGAAGTAGCAGCAAAAAAATTGTATCAATTTCATATATCATGCGAATTCTTCAGAAAAAAATTGAGTATTCTAGGATGGAATTTGATAAAGTGAGATTTTGAGTAAGTGTTTGCATCATGTTTAATTTCACGTTGGTTGTATGGTATATATTACTGAAAAGTTACCATTAATTTAGAAATAGTCAAATAACATAAAAAAGTCAAACAATTTTTCTTTTTAATGTTGTAAAAAAACTACCTAATAAACAAGTACTCTGCATATAAATAAATGCTTTTTTACTTATGAAAACAGTAATATTATTTTGAAACCTGACATTCAAACAAGTTATTTCAATTGAGGAATTGAAATTGTCAAATTTGAAAGTATATTACAAGTAATTTTGGGTATGGTTCTGAAAAGTACACCCCAATTTATTTTAAAAGGAATAAACTTGTATTTAGTAAGAAATATAAGCGTCTGAATTTAATTATTAGGGAATATTTAATCGGCCATTTTAATATAACACATTCTTCTTCATTTTCGTTTTGAGCTAGTCAATTTCTTGCATAATATACCTTTGTAATATATATAGTTTTAAAATTTTATTTTCGACATTAAAAATATACAATTATTTAATATTGTTTTAAATTTGAAAAGATTATTGCAAAACATATATTTATTTATATACCAGGCCAAGATAGTATGGGAAAGGGGCTGCAATCAAGGCACCACCAACTAGGGCTGTGTTAGGCATGGAAAAGTAATTAATTTTTCAGAGCGGATTTTTAAACTTTTATAAAAGAGAAGATACGTGCGAAAACTCTTAGCCAATAGGAATTGTGTTATATTAGTACAAAGCTACCATTAATTTAAAAATCTTAAAGATAGCATCATTCATTTGGAAAAAAGTATAGGAAGAAAATAGCATAATAATATATTCTGATTGACTTTTAATTCTTGAAGAGTTCATTCGCCTAACCATGCTAAACATCGATATTTTCGATATCTAAATTAGTACTTGGATCAAAATAAATGGAGTAGGAGAGAGAGAAATATTTGTTGGGTAGGAGAGAAAGAAACATTAGTGTGCTAGAAGTTAACCTAGCTTGTGGAAGAGTTTTAGTTCTCTTTTTATAGACGGGAGATACTTGATGGTATATATTCTTGAATCCAGACCATATAATCAACCAGTGTGTGTGATCAACAGGCACAGTGCAAAATTATTTTCATGTTGTTGTTTGACGTTTAGCTCTGAGTCCTTCCTCCTAAGGTTCTGACATGGACTATTATACTTATGGGTCAACTGTACGAGTCTGTAATCCTCGTACTTTAATGTGATTGGACGGAACCCATAGCCTACGCAGCCTCGTCGAGTGCTGCACGTTGCGGGTGAAAGTTTACCCGTAATTGTATACTTTACTTTTTAGTTCTTTATATTCAATTAAATAACTTTTAACCATACTCTCAAATTATTTTCAAACGTTAAACTACTAACCAGTACAATTAAAACGTGGATCCAAGCAATAGGCAGTATGACCATTCTACCCATCACAAAGCAAATTAAGAGAACTCTCAAAACAAGCTGTGCTTAGTCTAGCTCACAATCAACATAATTTTTTTAATTAATTATTAGAATCTCAAATAAATATACCACCTCCTCATCACTTTCCCTAATTAGTATAAAAGTGTCACTTTTAGAACTAAAAAACCAATAAGTGATAGCTAAGTTAAAATTCATAGGAAAAAAAAAAGTTGGTTTTCTCTGTTATTATCAAAGCTTCTCATTAAAATAAAAAATAAAAAGAAAGGAGAAAGAAGAAATGGGCAGCACTTCAAAACTCATATTGACATCAACTTCCGCGTTGAATTTTAAATCTTATTTCTATATAATTAATTAATTAATTAAACCTATATGTTTCTAAAAATAATATAATATATAAGTAGATGGACCATATGAAAATAGTACGTTTATTTTTAAACATTTCTTACAATATACAAAAATCCAAATCTGAACCAAACACGGTTTCCCAAATTTACAGGTCTTGATATTGAATTTTCATCATTTTGCAAGTTGATTGAGAAAAAGAAAAAGAAAAAGAAAAAGAATTATTAAGATAACAATAATATACTCTTGAAATTCCAAATAAACCCTAATTTTCTGCCGCCTGTTCCTGGCCCTGTGTCAGATCGCCGCTCTAAATGCTGAGAGAGTTAAAAGAAAATTAATAATAAATAAAACCAAAAGAAAAAAACCCTTCATTTATGATTGGAAAAGACAAAGATCCAATATTTTTCTAAAGCTAAAATATCTCATTTGCTACAATAATAAATAAACATTTAAAAACTACTGTTCAGAGGTTATTTTTATATACATATTTTTTAATGTATGAAACAAATTATTATTTTGCATTGTTTTTTTCCTATGCTCATGTGCTCCCTGTGTAACACTCTTCGGGTTGAAGTTGAGCCACATTCAAAATGTTTTAGCTTTAAAAATTTCAATTACGTTGTTAGGATATATTTTTAGGTTTTAGATTATGTTTAAATTTACCTGATATTTTTTATGTAGATTGATTGGTTGAGTAATTAAGTCGAGCGGCCAATGCGAGTATAGCTTCATAGTAGTTGTCATATATCTCCAACTAAGAGGTTATGAGTTTAATCCTCCATCTCCATATATTGTATTAAAAAAAAAAATAGGTCGAGCAAGTTAAAATTTAAGACTATGAGCATAATTCACCTCAACTATCACATATTAGAAAGTTGGTAGGTTGATCTATAAAAAGAGCAAATGTTGATAAAAGAAAAAAATATATGCCCAAATATTATGGAGCGATCAACCTGACAAGAGCGAACAATAATTGTCGGACAAGCTAGGTACTGGAGACTTACAAAAATAGGTAGAACACTCCGATGCACAAGTCAATTCTGGGTACGAACTAGACAAATCAGTTTCAGACAGATTTTATACCTGATTGAGTGAAATTGAGGTGTATTTATAGTTGGCAAGTGGATAGTTTCCATGTCCCATCGATCTACTCTAGGGGTTAGGACTAGTCAAGTACTATGAGTCGAACTGATGACTGGACTTACCACCTTTAGCAGCTCGGCCTCAGTGCTTGTTTTGGCGTCTAAGGCCTCCTTCTCAGCATGTTAGCTTGGCACGTGTCTTTTCCTGGTGAGGTAGCTCGGCCTTTGAATGTTGGCGTCTCGGCCACCCAACAACAAACATTTAAATCCTTTAACATATAATCATAACTACAATTTAAAAGAAACATCTAAAACATTAGCGAATACTATAAAATCGCCACATGTGTTGAATTTTATAATCTTTTAATCTAATAAACCGGCCTTCAATGTCGATTATATTGCCTCATTCATTTTTTATACGACAAATTAAGCTACTTAACATCTAAGCATGCATTTAAATTTCAATATACACAATGTATAACTTAGCCATTAGGATCACTTTAATGTTGACCATTACGATTTCCAGAAATTAATGTGAAAAAAAAATCAAAATACTATTTTGGAAAATGATTTTCTAAAATTATAAACCCTAATTCTATCTAAAGTCGACTTCCACCGCCACTTGATGACGTTCACACTAGTAGAGCATAAAATTCAACCGTTCAGTGGGGCAAACTGTAATTTTACATAAATTCGAATTTTCTAATGACGTTTGATTGTTGTTCTCATTCATTTCCTATTCTTCAATTGTTTTCGTTAACTTATAAGGAAAATTTATATTATTTATTTATTTAGTTTTCATCAACTTGAACTGCGTCGTTTTGCGTGCACCATTTTTTGCCCCCTCGAGGTTCCAAAATTCTCCCATCCGTACTCGCGAATTAGATCTCGCCCCTCTTAAGTCTTAAAGAGAAATACCGGTTAATAATTTTATTAAAATATCTATAGAAAGAAGATTAAGTTTACGTTAATTTCTAAAGTAGGTGGTCATCATGAAATCTGAACTCATTGCTTTTTTAGTTTTGTATTTAACAAAAGTTATAATATATAAGTTTATGGTTAACCATATCAATAAAACAAGTTTGTTACGTAAGGTTCAGTTTAAGTGTATAGATTATGGCAAATATGAGCTTAGCGGTTAAGACACCTATTTATGAGATTGTAAGTTCGAATCATCATTACACGTGTTGTTGTATTAAAATATAAATGATAAATTGCATAAACCACCCCTAAAGTATGATAGATGTTGTAATTACACCCCTTAACTTTCAATTAGAAAAATTAACCCCTCAAAGTTTGATTAATAAAAAAATTGGACCACTGAACTTTTAATAATAAAAATTTAACCTTCAAACTTGACTAATTAAGTAAATTCCACCCCTAAATTTTTCAATAGTGAAAAAACACCACCTCAAACATTAAAAATTACGTGTATTCTCCCCAAATTTCCTTCTTTCTACATTTGAAACATAGGAATAGGAACTGGACTCGCATATGACAAATCCCAATTCTCCATTGGCCATGGGTCCTTTTCTTAAGCGGCGACCACACCCCACCAATTCTCTTCCTCCTCATCTCTGTCAAACCAATCAAAACATCAGACTGTCATTAACCAAATCAAACCCTTTACGAGAAAGTTGATTAAAGAGGAAGGTGCAGCAGCGGTGGAGGTCTTTAGGATCGGTCGTCATCGCCGTCATTTGGATGGTGGTTTGAGAGAAGCAGAGGTGTTCGACGAAATGCCAAGCCAAACAGGGGTGCAAATCTTGAGAATGGAGAGCCCGCTCCGTTTTCCATGTTTCAACGGTAAAAATCAAAGTTTGGGGAGAAATAGTTTAAATACCTCAATTGGATTTTATTTTTTATAATGGAAAACCTTAAAGGATAAAATTTTCTTATTTAGTCGAGTTTGAAGGTTCAATTTTTAAATATTCAAGGGTCCAATTTTTTCACTCATGAAATTTTGAGGATTTAATTTTTGCAATGGAAAGTTGAGGGGTGTAATTACAACATCTACTATACTTTAAGGGTGGTTTGTGTAATTTACCCCAATATAAAATATAAATTTTACAGTGCATTTAATTTTGTAAGTAGATTCTTTAAAAAAAAATAGATACAATTTTAAATTTAGATATTGATGAAAATAATTTATAATTTAGTTGAGTTGTCATTTTATTCCTTTGCATTTATACTTCTTTTCAATTATTTGATAGTTATGGTCAACATGAAAATACACCGAATAAAAACATCTAGTCGGAAGATGAATATTTTAATCAATTTGACTAAATTCATATTATTCACTCGTAGCAAGCAAATTGCAAAACTTTTAAGTCCTGAATAAACCATTTAGAATCGGCTATAGCGAGCATAAAAGCATTAGGGCTAAAAAGTAAATTTCATCCATTCTATAACTTAATAAATGCAAAAAGATAAAGATAAATGATAAACTTTATTTGTTAATTCAATAACATCAATAAAATATTTGTATTAATATATTATATAGATATAATTTTGTTTTTTCACTTTTCTGAAGCGACTAAGTTGACTTTCGTTTATTTCCTGCATAATTCCCCTCTCTGTCTTCTCTGTGTTTCCTTTCTATGTGTCTGTATTAAATTCATATTTCAGTGGTAAGAAAATAAATTCGGTACTTCCCATTTAGACGTTCCTGCAATTTCCCCAATTCTCCTCCGCCTCTTCACTCAACTTCCTACGCGGACTTCATTTCTGCACCGGAATCCAAACTCGCCGGCGTTTCTCATCCAATCGACTGCATAAACCAGGCGCGGCGACTGGCGAGTACCGAGCCATGGTTCTGGCTCGACTCCTCGCGGTTTCTCTCTTCGCTCTCTGCTTCGTAAGCCTCGCTTCCGGAGCCGGCCGGTTGCCGCTCGACGAAGGTACGCCGCCGTAGATCGGATCCGGACTCCGTAACTGTAATCGATGGGAGTCAGTTTTCTGGTTGATTTCTGAGATCTTGATTTTTCGATTTGTTTTGCTCTCAGTTGATGCCTTGCGAGAGATCGGAGATACATTGGGGAAGACGGACTGGAATTTCGACGCCGATCCGTGCGGCGGCCAGGGTTCCGGTTGGATATCTCAATCGAACCAATTCGATTTGAATTTTGTTAATAATGTCACCTGCAACTGCACGTTCATCAATGGCACCGTCTGCCACGTCACCAGGATGTACGCTCTCTCTCTCTCTCATCTACAGTTTTTGCTCTCTCACTCATCAATTCAACTTTAAACTTTTTGGATCGATGATTTTCCAATGATATCATTTAAAGAAAAAATATAATTTTTTTTTCTTTTTGTGTTTCACTTTTTTTATATGACAGTTTTCAATTTTTATACAAATTTCACGCAACAGGAAACATGGTTTTAAATGTGTGTGTGTATTTTTACACATTTATTTCGATTTTTCTATGATTTTTGAAGGAAAAACAAACAAATCATAGGTGCAAATTATTATTAGATGGAGAATGTTTAAATATTTGTAGAATTTCTATGGTTCTTGATGGGCGATTTCTGTATTTTATGAGCTCAATGAAAAGAAAAAAAAATTCCCATAATTTATGGAGATGATAAATATAAAAACAACTACAAGTGGATATATTCTAATGGTATAATGGTAGTTAAAAACTTAAATCCAACTAATCAGTAATCTCTACCTTTCTTCTTCTTTAAAAAAATAAAAAATAAAAAAATCCAACCAATCCCTATCTCTTAGATGTTTCAATGATGGAACTTTTTAATTATTGTTGTGAAATCAAAATTATTGGAATTAATTGGCTTATAAATAGCGCAATAAGCGAGAGTTGCAACCCTTTTTTTTTTGTTAGCCAAAATTGTTGAACAGCTTTATCAATTTAAGAAAATGAAAAATAATAG